AAGAGCTCAGTTGCTCTTCAGTCAGCTTGTGAGTGCTCAAGTCATTTTTTTTTGTAAATATGATCATTCTATTACCCGATTATTTTTAAATTCTTTTTTTTTCCTCTATTCCAGTTAGTGGCTGCAACAGCAAGACCGTCATTTAGCAATCTCATATCAATCAAAAATTTATGAAGTCAACTATGGTTGACCTGTGATCGGTCGTATTAACGTATTGAGTTGTTTTGTTGTTGTTTCTTTGCCGCGAGAGCTTAAACAAATTCATCAACGATATGTTTAAAAAAAAACAATTGTTGATGAAATGGTTGGTTTGTCTGTTTGTTTGTTGTTTTTTTTTTTGGTCTTTTGGGGGAGGTCATTTTTTTCTTTGTGTATTTTTTTTTTTTAAGAAAAAGGGGATGGGGGTGGGGTGGGCCCCTTCAAATTCACAAATTTTTGCTGCAATTAATTGAATTTTTTTATTTTTTTTTTATTTTTGCTGCAATTAACTGAATTTTTTTATTTTTTTTTGGGGGGGGGGGATGTGGGTGGGGGTCAAAATTTAAGAGTTACTCTCTTCCTAATAATCCTCTCCATGTTCCTGATTGAGATATGTAATGTTCAATTTTAATTAGTGGTTTCGTGATTGTGTTCGTTCTAGACTAGATATTTTTTTGTCTTTTTAAATTCTTTTTTTCCACGTACTTTGAAAAAGAAATAGACTAATTATTGTATGTACGAATTAGCAAATGAAATTTCCGGAGAGATATCGTGATTGGGCTATATCAAAATGCTCGTTAGCTCAGGACATGTTATTATTCTCTGGATATAAGCTTTTTTTAAATTTATTTTTTACATTTAAAAAAACTAAGTTTCAATTAGTAAAATTCACCGCTGTGTACTGTTAAGAACTAAGTCAGTATATCGAAGTTTTAATTTTACTACAATGAAAAATATTTTTTGTTATAAAAGGACAATTTTGTTGTTAATAGTTTATTATTTGTGCCTTATTTAATAATACGTCTTTATAATTCTGTATTTGAAAGTCAATAGGCTAAGCTGTCTATATATCGTATTTTTGAAGGGAGTCTGTTGTTTATTCAAACTTTCAACAAACATATTGCCACTGAGAAGGTTGTTTCTTTGTTTTTGATGGTCTTACAGGTTTTCTAGGTGGCTTTCTTTTTTCTTTTTTTTTTCTTTTTTTGAGGAAAACAACCCAGCACATTTGGGAAATTAATTTTTTTTTTAAATTTAATTAAAAAGGTCGTAGCCTTTGAACTACTAAAATATATACAGATATACTTTTCCTGTTTTATCTAGGAGAAAATGCAAATGTTCACTGAGGATTTCATCGCTGTGGAGGATCCAGCAGAAAGTATACCAGCGCCGAGTTTCCCGGATGAGACAAGTGATGGGGATGTCACGGAGCTCGGTGGCGTAGGACCAGGGTCAGATCGCCGGGTGAGACGTAACGCTGGTCAGAAGGATAAGCAGAAGAAAACTCCTGGCAACGGGAAGAAGAAAAACAACAAGTGTGGCAACAACAAGCAATTGATCGACCAGTATTGCTTCGACAAGATCGAAGGTAGGTTTGATCAAATTATTCGATAGCCCAGGGAATAGTGTTGTGATTATATCTTGTGTTGTTGCTGTTTGTTCTGTTGATTTTTTTTAATTGTTTTTTTTTTTGGTTTTAGGGGCACGGGGGAGGGGGCAGGGGGCGGGGCAGGGGGCGGGGCAGGGGTGATTCCAATTAACATAACTTGTGAATAACATAAACGTTTATACGAGTCAAAACAAACATGATAAAAGAAATATTTTTTTTTTCCTTTAAGGTGACAAGAAATTTGCAAAAGGGTTCGGTTGTTGAAAACTTTTTATGATACAATCCATGTTAGGCACCACCTTAACAAGGGACTATTATTATGTTATAATCCATTGTTAGGCGTTACCTTCTCTAGGGGACTGTTATTATGATAAAATCCATTGTAAGGGCATTACCTTCTCTAGGTACTATTATTATGATACCATCCAATGTTATCCATTACCTCCTATAGGGAATATTATGATTCGCTTCAAAGACTTGAGTTTATGTTAAAGAAAACTGCTTGCTGAGATTGTTAAGTTAATTTTTTTTTTTTTTACGAATTTAATTGCTAACCTGGAAATTTGATTATCAGTGTCTATTTCAACCGTATATCCACAAAAAATGTATAAGAAATAAAACAACAATTATCATCAGACTAAACATGGGGTCGAAAGTTCAGGTCTAGGGATTAACCAGATCCCTGGCAAACATCAGCTCAAAATGATGGTAATACTAAACAAACTAAAAAAAACCACTTTGAATCGACAATCGCTTATGATAAAGAAGGTCTAATAAAGGTTGTTATTATTTTACTTATTTAAAAACAAAACAAAAATCTTTGTTATGAAACGCTCAGCGTAGGTCAATCGTTTTAAACAATTACTGCCATATCTGTGGACTAAAATTTGACTGAATTCAGAATAATTATTTATTGAATCATATCTGCATATATCACTGTAGTTACGTAGAAAACTATTGTTTATAGTAAACTGTAGTCAGTCACACATGAGAAAATTTCACTAAATACTTTAAAGTACATTTATGATTTTTTTTTCTAACTGGCTATTCTAAAATTATTTTGTATAAATTTGTTCGATAATATTATGATGATAAGCTATTTTTTAAAAATACATTTCCTTTCAGGCCTCAAAGTAAGTGATCATTCTTTAAAAAACAGTTTAACTCAACAGTCGTAAGTTTTCTTGGTCCCTGGAAGTGAACCTTGAAGAGCATTCTATGGTTCACTTACTTGTTTTTATTGATATAATTAACGTTATAAAAGAGTAGTAAGTCTAATTAATGTGTGTCTTTTTTGTTTACTTATTTTTTTAAAATCTGAAATTGTGATAAGATTTCCCATTTTGTGGGAAGATTTCCCTTTGAATAAATATTTGTGATAAGATTTCCCATCCGACTATCTTTTTTTTTAATAAGATTTCCCATTTGTACTGTACATTATATTTTCTGCCTTTCTTTCAAAAGCCTATATCCAATGAGTTTGAAGGGTCGTTTGGCAACCATTATGATTATAAAGACAAAGGTGAGTCAAAGATTATGTATAATTGGAACACAGAACAATCTAAGTTTAAAAAGTCGACTGGTCAATTAGTCAACTTAAAGTATGCTTTAAATTATTGAGGGGAAAAAAAGAAATCATACGGCCAAATGAAAACACTCTATATTTTTCTGGCTTTTGACTTTTCTGCTTGCGAAGAAATCTTTCACTCTTCGGTGTCAGGGCGAACATCTCTGTATTATAACGCCACAGACCTGGTAGTTGTGTGACTCGAAAATAAATTTAAAAAGCATTTCAAGCTTTTTCTCTCTATCATAACGCGTAATGGGTGCATTAAACACTTGTAGATATCAGTTTACAGACTTAATGAAATGATACAATTCAAACTGTTGTGTTTTTTTTTAATTTAAATATTTGTTATATTTTTTTTAATCTCCTGTTTGTTTCATACTTGACAGATCTGAGAATTATAAAATATTACAAATGGTTCTTGATGTTTAATGTTAAAGTCTTTATTTTGTTTTCGGGACGGGGTTGCCAACTCAAAAATAAATAATAATAATAAAATAAATTACGGACAAAATATGTGCAGGTTTTTTTACCGGCAAGACACAAATGTTTAAAGACATATTTTTAAAAAAAAATTGTAAAGCTTAAAAAAAATATTATTTAAATATCCACACGAATATGTTAGTACTGCGTTGAACTCTGTGTATTTTGACCATTAGGCCTGCACGTGTGTTTTAACGTTAGGGGCTGGGGAGGAACGCAAACATGTTGTGCGTGTAAAATACGGGAAGGGGGCTAACGGCCTATAACAATGATTCCAGTGGGCTCTCCTGGTATCCAACAATGATTGGTTGTAGTGACCCGGTATAGAGTGGGCAGTGACGTGTACGGATGACTTTTTCGATGACTTGTAGAGACGTCGATGAACGTAGCAATGAGCGTAGGAAACAAAAGTCCCATCGTACCCGTGTGTATACCCCGTGACTGTTTAAAATTCATTCCAAATTCCAGGGGATTGAATACTGTTCAACCACTTTTACAAATATTTTACTCCTTAACTCCCTTGGGGCGGACACTTCCCTTCTGGGCATTATTATTAAAGGTGTTATGGTACAGCAGGCTTAAAAGAGTTGAATTTCACTTTATGGTACAGCAGGCTTAAAAGAGTTGCATTTCACTTTATGGTACAGCAGGCTTAAAAGAGTTGAATTTCACTTTATGGTACAGCAGGCTTAAAAGAGTTGAATTTCACTTTATGGTACAGCAGGCTTAAAAGAGTTGAATTTCACTTTATGGTACAGCAGGCTTAAAAGAGTTGAATTTGACTTTATGGCACAGCAGGCTTAAAAGAGTTGAAATTCACTTTATGGTACAGCAGGCTTAAAAGAGTTGAATTTCACTTTATGGTACAGCAGGCTAAAAGGAGCTGCATTTCACTTTATGGTACAGCAGGCTTAAAAGAGTTGCATTTCACTTTATGGTACAGCAGGCTTAAAAGAGTTGCATTTCACTTTATGGTACAGCAGGCTTAAAAGAGTTACATTTCACTTAAGTATGATCCTACGCGTTTCAAGTAAGCGCTATAAAATCACAAACTTTTATCAAGCTTAGGTTTGTTGCGCCGCAATTTATTATTATTTACAATGTCGACATTTCAAAGTTCTTGCGGATATTTACGGACATGTATTCTCAGGGCAATATTTTACGGACTGTCCGTAAATGTACGGACTTTTGGCGACCCTGATAAAAGGCATTAATGAATCCGAGTCAGCGGTCATCCAAAGTATTTAAATTAAATGAAAATATTTATCAAATCCCTCAAGGAATTCTCGTTACACTATTATAGAACCCAACAATTTGTGTTCTTTTAGTCTTAGAAAAAGGATGTTACACTGACAATAAAGTTGCCATGCACCCAAAGGTCTGCAGGGATCATACAATCAAATACTCACACAAAGGTAAGAATTTAAATTAACGACACTGTACAGTGGGGGAAGAAAACTACATTCTCTCAACGATTAGATCAAGAGACTGGTTTTGTGGTTGAGATTGTGTTAAAACTTAACCTAACATTAACAATTATGAATAAGATCTCAATGAATTATTCCGGGGTATGGCCCAAAATACTAGTTAGCTTTCTAGGGTTAGAGTTAGCCTTCTGGGGTTAGAGTTAGCCTTCTAGGGTATGGCAACCAAACGTCCCGTTTTTTCGTTTTTTCACGATCGTACCCGATGTCCCGGAAAAGTCTCTCGGGACGCCTAAATGTCCCGTTTTTAAAACAAACCCATTTTCAAATCACTTAAACTTCCTAATTTATAATATAACTTCAAGTAATATTTTGCCCAGCTGTGGTAGCCAGTGCCAGTAGTGATGTGGGCTCGCGTGACGGCTCCACTGTTCCCAATTCACCCATCCAGCTGAAGCTGCTTAAACGACAGTGTGCCTGCCACCGATCTTACATGTATAAATAAATAAGTATTCACTGCAAAATTATTCTTTTCGATTATGATATGTCTCACACTTTAAGATAAATTATACAAGTAAAGGTACATTTTTAAAAGATTTCAAGTCTTAAAATAGTTAAAATAAACATAATTAAATAAACAGTTTTCGGCGGAGGCCCCCAGACCCCTCTTTAGCTGGAGGGTATCCGCCCCCCCACCAAACGCTCCTTTGGTGTGTCCCGTTTTTTCCAGTTCATGATTGTGTCACCCTATTCTAGGGTTACAGTTAGCCTTCTGCAATTACAGTTAGCATTCTAGGGTTAAAGTTAGCCTTCTAGGGTTACAACTTAGTCTTCTAGGGTTAAAGTTAGCCTTCTAGGGTTAAAGTTAGCATTCTAAGGTTAAAGTTAGCCTTCTAGGGTTAAAGTTAGCATTCTAAGGTTAAAGTTAGCCTTCTAAGGTTAAAGTTAGCATTCTAAGGTTAAAGTTAGCCTTCTAGGGTTAAAGTTAGCATTCTAAGGTTAAAGTTAGCCTTCTAGGGTTAAAGTTAGCATTCTAAGGTTAAAGTTAGCCTTCTAGGGTTAAAGTTAGCATTCTAAGGTTAAAGTTAGCCTTCTAAGGTTAAAGTTAGCATTCTAAGGTTAAAGTTAGCATTCTAAGGTTAAAGTTAGCCTTCTAGGGTTAAAGTTAGCCTTCTAAGGTTAAAGTTAGCCTTCTAGGGTTAAAGTTAGCATTCTAAGGTTAAAGTTAGCCTTCTAGGGTTAAAGTTAGCATTCTAAGGTTAAAGTTAGCCTTCTAAGGTTAAAGTTAGCATTCTAAGGTTAAAGTTAGCCTTCTAGGGTTAAAGTTAGCATTCTAAGGTTAAAGTTAGCCTTCTAGGGTTAAAGTTAGCATTCTAAGGTTAAAGTTAGCATTCTAAGGTTAAAGTTAGCCTTCTAGGGTTAAAGTTAGCCTTCTAAGGTTAAAGTTAGCCTTCTAGGGTTACAACTTAGTCTTCTGGGCTTCCTTGAGACTGGAAGCTTTTTTAATAACGGCCAATAAATAAATATGTACATGCATTATAAATAAAATATATAGAACAAAAAATCAGATGTCATCCGCACTTATGTTTTGAATGTTTAGCACAGTTTCTTTCTCGGTTTTTTGCATAAAAAGATCGCAGAGCTATAGGCCAGGTGTTGTAAATTTAAGTGGTACGCGCCCTTAACGCGTATACGAAGCCATCTGGACATCAGGTCAAGAAGTCCGTTTGACCCGAATTTAAATGGAATATTTAACATTCATTAACTAGTTGGTAGCTAAAAGATTAGCAGCCAAAGGATACGGGATATAAATATATATATATATATATATATATATATATATATATATATATATATGTGTGTATATATATATATATATATATATATATATATATATATATATATATATATATATATATGTGTATATATATATATATATATATATATATATATATATATATGTATATTTAATGTATGTAAATTTAAAAATTCCCTTATATGGAAAAAATATTTTTTTATAACTTTTTAAAAATCTTTTAAATTAACTTTTGACACATTAATATATTTAATGTATATATATGTATATACGTCAAAGCAGTGCGCAGTCTAATTTTGATAGTGAAAGTATACATGAGAAAGTATAAGAAAATATATTAAAACATAATGATTTATTTAATCATTCATTCATTATTTTCCTTCATTCATTCGTTTAGGATCTCCTCTTTCCTTCTTTGTTCCTTTAAACGGAACCAACACAACTTTATTGAACATAACGAGTAGCTCACATGGGGAATTCACCGCACAGGAGTCGGGCATCTTTCTCATGCGGTTCAACGTGAGTACCTACTGCTTGGTTTTTTTTGTTTTTTTTTTGGCATTCAGAACATACGGTTGGTTTATTTAGCATTTAATGCCTACAACTTTGTAAATAAACATTCACAACCTACAAGTTGTCATCAAGCATTCACATCCTGCAGCGCGTCATTTAACATTCACAACCTACAACCTACAACCTTTATTTAGCACCAACGGCGGTTTATAATTTAAGCATTCAATACCGACAGCCAGCTATTTCGCGTTCACAGCCTACAGCTAGTAATTCGGCAATTCACAATCTACGGCTAGTTGTTTAGCATTTAGGACACACATATTTCTTTTTTAAAATAGCATTCAGTACCTACATCTAGTTATTTAGCATTCACAACCTGTCAACTCTGTGTTTCTGCTAGACTGGTTAATTCGTCAAGTTCTTTAACGCGTTGTCATGCGTCGTATGAATATTGAATGAACTCAAGTCCTTAAACGCAATATAGATAACATTAATACCTAACTATATGCACAGGCCTTACTTTTCAAAAAAAAAAAAAAACAACACATGTATATAGCGCAGATCACTATCAGACAAGAAAGAAACACACATCCTACTTCAACAAATTCCACTCACGACTAAAACTTACTTCACAATACAGTCTGGACAATGCGTCTTAATCGGCATAAAAATACGTCAATAAGTCAAGCACGGAAAAGAGCGTTCACTAACTTATAAAACTTTCAAACATAATATTCATTCGCAGCAATTATCAAATGAACTCCTATACTGGAAACAACCTACAGCTAGTTATTTAGAATTCACAACCTACAGCTAGTTATTTAGAATTCACAACATACAGCTAGTTATTTAGAATTCACAACCTACAGCTAGTTATTTAGAATTCACAACCTACAGCTAGTTATTTAGAATTCGCAACCTACAGCTAGTTATTTAGAATTCGCAACCTACAGCTAGTTATTTAGAATTCGCAACCTACAGCTAGTTATTTAGAATTCGCAACCTACAGCTAGTTATTTAGAATTCACAACCTGCAGCTAGTTATTTAGAATTCACAACCTACAGCTAGTTATTTAGAATTCACAACCTACAGCTAGTTATTTGGAATTCACAACCTACAGCTAGTTATTTAGAATTCACAACCTACAGCTAGTTATTTAGAATTCACAACCTACAGCTAGTTATTTAGAATTCACAACCTACAGCTAGTTATTAAGAATTCACAACTTACAGCTAGTTATTTGGAATTCACAACCTACAGCTAGGTATTTAGAATTCACAAAATACAGCTAGTTATTTAGAATTCACAACCTACAGCTAGTTATTTAGAATTCACAACCTACAGCTAGTTATTTAGAATTCACAACCTACAGCTAGTTATTTAGAATTCACAACCTACAGCTAGTTATTTAGAATTCACAACATACAGCTAGTTATTTAGAATTCACAACATACAGCATTTTATGTAGCTTTTTTAACCAAGTGCCCTTAGTCTTGGAAATTTAAACTTTATTTAATACTTAGATTTTTTTTTTTAATCCATTAAAGATTTGCAGATCACCAATATGTTTCGAAATATAAGTAGGTTTAATTATGAATAAAGCAAGAAATATTTTTTGCCAAATTTGTAAGAAAACCATGACGGACTTTTGCCAGGGTCGATGCGCAAAAAATTAAGAAGTGAAAATCTTGCATCATCTAATTATTAATTCGGAAATGACGTCAAGCCAAAGCAAAACTAAATCGTATCCACTCGGTTTACTTTTTATTGCCGATAATCGATTTTCTTTAATTATAAAACGGGAAATTATATGTTTAAATTAATATGTTAATAGAAGTATCGATCCTAAAACATTCTTAATTTGCATGTGTGTGTGTGAGTGTTTGTGAACAATGTCCATGGTTACGTTAAAAAAAAAAAAAATTAAATTCTGCCTGATTGACATCACGAGTTCGATGCTTGTGTTGTTTGAATACACAATGTACACATCTACCTCCTCCCCCAACCCCTCCCCAGATCGTCATGATAGACCACGACAAGAATCGTTCCGTAGGAGTTTTTGTTGACGACACCCCAGTAATGGCGTGCCCTCCCGGCGGCTACCAAAAGCCAAAGGAGAAATTGGACAACCACAGGATTTGTAGCTTTAACGGTAAGTTTTCATTGCGCAGCGACAACTCTGCACCTTTTGATAAGAAATCAGTTTAGTGTATGTACATTTCCGACGTACACAAAAATCAAGAAGCATTTCTATCAAAAATCCTCGATAAACGTACTTAAAATAAATAAAAGAAAGACACAAGACAACAACATTTATTTGTTCCTAGTATCGTATAAGATCTTTAAGGGACACATGTAACAAACAAACAAACAAACAAACAAACAAATGTCACATAAAAATTACTTTTGACAAGCCGGCTATTTTCAAGTCTAGATTTCCCCCAAAAAAGACATAATCATAGTTCAATGTCGATTTGTATGCCTTGTTAAATGGGTTAGCCAACTGAGGTAAGTACAAGTCTAAAGTGTTACTGTAAAAAAAAATGAAAAAATTCGGCTGTGATTTCATCAGTTCCAGTGTTTTTGTTGTTTGTTTTTAAATGACCGATTATGTGTTTTTAGTGACAGAACATGTGTTTTAATGACAGAGAGTGTGTCTTTTTGGCAACAGATCATGTTTTGATTTAGTAACAAGTTATGCGTTGTTTTAATGACAGATCATGTGTTGTTTTGTGTCCAATCAGTTACTGGTGGCTCATCAAACAGTTTTTAATCTTTCTTAACCATAAATCTCGTGCTGCTCCGACAGGTATTCTCCAGATGAACAAAGGCGACAAACTCCAGCTGAGGACAATGGAAGACAACACCACGGTGCGAATAGAGAGTAAAGACAAGGCCTTCATCAAAGTAACGCTGCTCCACAGAATGAGTCAGGGAGTGATACCCAAATGATGACACGCTGAGATTTAGATTACTTTTCTGTTGTGGCGGATTGTTGAAGAGAAGAACGGGACTATAGTTGTGTTACTGCTTAACTTGTGAAAACTTCGTGTACATTAAACAGTTCTATACGCTTTTTTTTCCTTACGATCATTATAGCTTTAATATTGCTCAAAAGTATGATTTCAAAATGATTTTTTTTTAAAATTTGATGTATATTAATTGTAAATCAAGGCTTGGTATAAAGGGGTTGGTGTCAACAAAACAATGTTTGTTATGTACAATGAATAAAGCGCGTATAATTAGTCGAAGCCCAAAAACGGATTTATAGTTGTCTTTCAAGTTACTCCAAGACCTTCGATCACTCCCTCTCCGTGGCACTACAGCCCATTATAGGGCTTTGGCCTTCCTCACCACTTCCTTCCACTCAGACCATCCATCCATCCTTATGGCGCTACAGCCCATGCAGGGCTTTGGGCTGCCTCACTTCTTCCTTCCACTCAGACCATCCATCCATCCTTGTGGCGCTACAGCCCATTTAGGGCTTTGGCCTTCCTCACCACTTCCTTCCACTCAGACCATCCATCCATCCTGTGGCGCTACAGCCCATGTAGGGCTTTGGCCTGCCTCACTGCTTCCTTCCACTCAGACCATCCATCCATCCTTCTGGCGCTCCAGCCCATGTAAGGCTTTGGCCTGCCTCACTACTTCCTTCCACTCAGACCATCCATCCAACCTTATGGCTATACAGCTCATTTAGGGCTTTGGCCTGCCTCGCCACTTCCTTCTACTCAGTTCCAACTAACGCTTTTCTTTTACATGCTTGGATTCACAGCTGCTGTAGATCTTTGTCCACATCATCCATCGGTCTAATGCCTAAGTCTGCCTTTGAGTCGTTTCCCCAAGGGGTTTTGGTGATGTATCCTCTTCACTCCTCTGTCTGTTGGCATTCTTTCTAAGTATCCCGTCCATAGTAGTCTGCCCTTTTCTATTTCTGCTACTAATAGTTGATCCAGATATAGACTATTCCAAGACCTTAGTCAAAGTAAATTTAAAATTAAAAAATGAAAAGATACCGCAAAAATAATAACTAGAGAATATACGGTTTGTGGTCGATGGTGGCTCTAATGCACTCGTCCGGTGCTCCTTGAGCCTCGGGGGGTACTAGGACAATCCTTTCCCTGATCAGGGAGGAGATCGGTTGAGGGATTAATAAATCAATCAATCTTGAAGTTTAACACACTCACACAGACAATTGCAGGATGATTTTTAAATAAAAAAATAAAAAATCTATGAACACTTTGTGAGGAGAATCGCAATAAATGGTGATGAACTGTAATTTAAGTTCCTTCTTTTTTTTTTCTTTTTTTTTTTTTTGAAAAAAAAATCAGATTTATGATATTACGGCCGGTAAAAAATCTTTTAAAAAAAATTAAAACTTAAAAATTTGGAGCTTTACCTACTCTGTCAAACATCCAAGTGAAATGCCTTTTCAATTTTGTAATTTAAGTTCCTTCTTTTTTTTTTCTTTTTTTTTTTTTTGAAAAAAAAATCAGATTTATGATATTACGGCCGGTAAAAAATCTTTTAAAAAAAATTAAAACTTCAAAATTTGGAGCTTTACCTACTCTGTCAAACATCCAAGTGAATTGCCTTTTCAATTATTATAAATTGAACTCAAACATGGTTTCCCTTCTGGTGCCTCTGATTTCATCCCATGGCAAGTGTTATTGAAAACATATATTTTTAAATGAATATTAGGAACTATGTGGTCATTCACGAAAAGATACAAAATCTTTCCATTAATTTCAGTTAAGAATGGCGAAATCCTATTTTTTAGTTGTATGTTTTCATTAACTCATTTATTTTATAGTGATTTTTATTTCTAGAATTTTTATTTTTTTTCTGTGCTATAAATTAAAATATAATTTTCTAGTTTGGATTTTTAATGGGCTTTTTTTTCTTCAATTTTTTGAAAATACACATTGCCTGTTTCGGGAAGCCTAACCCATTAACACTTTGGGAAGTTGATATCCCAAAGGGAACAACATTACTCCCCAAAAATATTTGCTCAGTGCCTTTAAATATTATTCACGTTGTGTAAATCCTGTAAAAATTGTACAGACGCTAAACTTAGCTAGATGTGCACAGTCTTATAACGGCTTATTACATTCAGTCTACGCCTAGACCGCTAGTCTTATAGCGGCGTATTACATTCAGTCTACGCCTAGACCACTAGCTGGTCTTTAGTTGGAACTGAAAGGCTTACATTCGATTTTACTTTAAGTTTTTTCTTTTGTTTTTCTTTTCTTTTTTTTTTGTTGCTTTTTTTTTTTTTTTTTTTTTTTTAAAAAAAAATTTTTTTTGACATTTTTAATTTTTTTACTTTTTTTAAAAAAACCTATAAAAATTTTTTTTTTTTTCTTGTCTTTATTTGTAACTGAAAGTCTTACATTTTTTTTTACTTTAATTTTTTTCTTTTGTTTTTCTTTTCTTTTTTTTTTGTTGCTTTTTTTTTTCTGTTTGTTGTTTTAAAAAAAAATATCTCTAGACATTATGAATTCATTTACTTTTTTTAAAAAAACCTATAGATAATTTTTTTTTTAAAGTTCTACTGTCCATCAAATCAAATTTTAAAATTATGAAAAGTTAAACTTTGAAAAATACTATAAAATCATTTTTGACATTTATTTAGCTTAAAAATAAAATGTCACTTTTTGTATGCCTTTTTCAAACATGCAGCAACAAAAAATGTCAATACATGTAAGTGAACTTTAAAAGATGACTCAATAATACAAATCAGGTCTGTCCAACACCAAAAGCTTCACTTTTTTTTTATTACATGTATTACTTTTCGTGACACCTTATAATAAGTCATGAGAAATTAAAGAAAACAAATGAGTACATTTCCTGGGATTTCACGTTTCACGGTATCAAGTAAAAATAAAATGGTTGAGACCGTCTCAATCTGAAATAATATTTTTTTTCCAAGAAACTAAACCAGCTAACTTGAAGTTGGACAGCCCTGGTCTACATATATCCGTAATATTTTCGCTGCAGTTTCGAGGAGTGTTATCATTTGGTATTGTTATTGTACGACCAGTTTTAAATGCATTAAAATATATTGGCAAATAAAAGGTTGTTTCAATGAAAACATTTCTTTTCCTTTTTCTTTTTTTTTCAAATCACATAACAAGTCCACAAACACAAAAAATCGCAAATTTTGTTGTTTTTTTCCCCCTCCATGAACAGACTAATGAGTGTCCCGTCAGGTCAAGTGCATCATTGACCTGTTACATTTTTAAAGTGTTCGTAACCAAAGCCCAACTTTTTCCCAAAAATGTGAACACTTGTTAAGTTACATGTCAAAACTGTCCTCGGAATGCTGTATCCGCTTACTCCAAACTGGGAACTTTAAATTACTGCGTGATACTGGAATCTTTAACTTACTGCGTGGTACTTTTATGTTCAGCTTACTGTGTGGTTCTTGGATCTTTAAATTACTGTAAGGTAATGCGATCTTTGACTTACTGTGTGGTACTTGGATCTTTAAATTACTATAAGGTAATGCGATCTTTGACTTATTGTGTGGTACTTGGATCTTTAAATTACTGTAAGGTAATGCGATCTTTATTTTACTGTGTGGTACTTGGATCTTAAAATTACTGTAAGGTAATTCGATCTTTAACTTTTTGTGTGGTACTGGGATATTTAACTTACCGTGTGGTACTGGGATATTTAACTTACCGTGTGGTACTGGGATCTTTAACTAATTGTGTGGTACTCAACCATAGAAGAAGAGCTCCTTTTATTAATTTTTTTTTCCTTTGATAGCCAAATAAATCTTCCAATTAATAAAACGGAATCAATGTTTCATGAGGTAACAAGAAGGCTTATTGGTTTAAGTAACATTCTCCGCTTTGATTTCTATAACATTCATATGGGTCGAATGTTTATTTTGAAAATAAATTCATAGACATATCATTTTTCATTGTTTAGCCTGGCTGGAAAACGTTAAAACAAAAAAACACGACAAGGTTTATTTACCTTTTTATCTCGGTATAAAATGTGTCAAACATGCCCTTTATGATAGTACAATATAGTGTCAAACATGCCCTTTATGATAGTACAATATAGTGTCAAACATGCCCTTTATGATAGTACAATATAGTGTCAAACATGCCCTTTATGATAGTAGAATATAGTGTCAAACATGCCCTTTATGATAATACAATATAGTGTCAAACATGCCCTTTATGATAGTACAATATAGTGTCAAACATGCCCTTTATGATAGTACAATATAGTGTCAAACATGCCCTTTATGATCATACAATATTGTGTCAAACATGCCCTTTATGATAGTAGAATATAGTGTCAAACATGCCCTTTATGATAATACAATATAGTGTCAAACATGCCCTTTATGATAATACAATATAGTGTCAAACATGCCCTTTATGATAGTAGAATATAGTGTCAAACATGCCCTTTATGATAGTACAATAAAGTGTCAAACATGCCCTTTATGATAGTACAATATAGTGTCAAACATGCCCTTTATGACAGTACAATATGATTTGTCGAACATGTCCTTTGTAATAGTACAATATGATTTGTCGAACATGTCCTTTGTGATAGTACAATATAGTGTCAAACATGCCCTTTATGACAGTACAATATAGTGTCAAACATGCCCTTTATGACAGTACAATATGATTTGTCGAACATGTCCTTTGTGATAGTACAATATGATTTGTCGAACATGTCCTTTGTGATAGTACAATATAGTGTCAAACATGCCCTTTATGATAGTACAATATAGTGTCAAACATGCCCTTTATGACAGTACAATATAGTGTCAAACATGCCCTTTATGACAGTACAATATGATTTGTCGAACATGTCCTTTGTGATAGTACAATATGATTTGTCGAACATGTCCTTTGTGATAGTGCAATATGATTTGTCGAACATGTCCTTTGTGATAGTGCAATATGATTTGTCGAACATGTCCTTTGTAATAGTACAATATGATTTGTCGAACATGCCCTTTGTGATAGTACAATATAATGTCAAACATGCCCTTTATGATAGTACAATATAGTGTCAAACATGCCCTTTATGACAGTACAATATAGTGTCAAACATGCCCTTTATGACAGTACAATATGATTTGTCGAACATGTCCTTTGTGATAGTACAATATGATGTGTCGAACATGTCCTTTGTGATAGTACAATATGATTTGTCGAACATATCCTTGGTGATAGTGCACTATGATTTGTCGAACATGTCGTTTGTGAATGTGCAATATGAATTGTCGAACATGTCGTTTGTGATAGTACAATATGATTTGTCGAACATGTCCTTTGTGATAGTGCAATATGTTGTGTCGAACATGTCCTTTGTGATAGTGCAATATGATTTGTCGAACATGTCCTTTGTGATAGTGCAATATGATTTGTCGAACATGTCGTTTGTGATAGTGCAATATGATTTGTCGAACATGTCTTTTGTGATAGTACAATATGATTTGTCGAACATGTCGTTTGTGATAGTACAATATGATTTGTCGAACATGTCGTTTGTGATAGTGCAATATGTTGTGTCGAAATGCTCTTTATGACAGTACAATATGATTCGTCGAACATGCCTTTTATAAAAGTACAAAATCATGTCTTGAACGTGCCCATCATGATCTTACATTATGATGTCTCGAATACTCTCGAACATAATAATAATAATTATAAAGTTCATTTCAAAAACACGCTTCATCCCCAAAGGCTCGAAGCGCGGTACAAAGTCAACAAAAAACAAATCTATAATTTACCACATTTAAAACAAACGCAACACTACAAAAACTAATTACAAGCA